TAGCACAGGTGCTTTGAAAGAAACATTCCAAAATGATAGCTCCATTTACTCTAATAAATTACAGCGTAAACGTAAATTTTTGTTAATTTATTGATTTAAATTTTAATTGCTTTTAAAATATTAACTTATCTTTAATACTTTCTTTTAGTTTTCAAGGTTGAATGCATTTTTACGAAACATAAGTAACTGTTTTTTTTGTAATGAAAAGATGATTAACGGTTTTTACGTCCTCCATCACGATTATCCCAGTGAATTAACCAATCACCAATCTTCGATTGTAATGATTTTATATTATCATCTGCAGGATAATGTTTTATTACTGCAGCTTGGAAACATTCAAATAGTGCAATAGCACTAAAATTAAGTTTTTACACTTCTTTCTTTTTTCGACCTTGGCCAGAATACTGCCCTTGAACATCTTTGCTAATAATTTGTGGAAGAACTTTATATATACAAGCTTTGACATTTGAGTAATCAAAACATAATAAAAGCAAAAAAATCCATTAGAACGGTTTTTTTGGTCCTCGTTGTTTTTAATTCTTCCTCAAAATTTAAAAATTCAGAAAGTGTTTTATAGGCAAATTAACTTCAAATTTTTCTTTTAATTCGGCTCTTGTGCCCTGTGGTTTTTACTTACTTTGATACTTCCAATCGCCGCTTGTGCGCGACGGAAGGCAGGATAGGAAGGTCGGAAGCGAGAAGACAGCGAAGCACTGCACTCGACACACACGTATCGTTTAATATAAAACTATATTTAAGACTAAAACAAAGAAAAATACAAGTATTGAAACCGCACAGAATTTACTAAAGATAACTGATAAGAATAAACCAAAAGAAATAGCCGAGTCGATAATTAATAACTGAGTGCTCCGCGAGCAACGGTAATTTAAAACGTGAAGAACGAAAAAAAACAAGCGATCTTTTTCTTAAAGTAGAAGCACACTCTTGACGCGACAAGCAATCGGAAAAGGGCGCTGTGGTCACGGGAGAGGCGGCTTATATAGGCATGGTATTTCTCGAACATTCGAGAATATTTATCAGGTCCTATTATTCGATTGAGGACGAAAGAGTGTTTGCTGTGATTATTTATTTTTAAGTAAATCGTGGTTTGTTGTTATTTGTTTGGAGTTTAACAAGTAAAAGTTATCGCATATCGATCAATCTTATATTTCGGCATAAGTTTTCGATTATTGTATTTATATATCACGCCTTTGTATAGCCAATTATTTCAGCGTGACAAATATATTATTTTCGAGTCTCGTATTGTTACGATGCCGCGACAGTGACATTCCTTGTTGTTTTTCGCTGCCGATCAGCTGGCGATCAGCTACCGATCAGCTGATTCGCACTCAAATAAACATACCTTGCTCCCCGTTTTTCACCCTTACGACGGGGAATTCTTGTCTCTCGACACCTCGTCAACAGCAGTTGAGCTGAGCTCTCTGATCAAGCAAGGTTGTCGCGCGAAGGCTATATGTCTCGGATTCAGTTTTTGTCTCCATCTCAATTGTGTTTCTCAAATAAACTCTTAAAAGATCAAATCAGTTTGTCATCTTTCTTAAGCAATGATATTTTATCTTTCCTCTATCCTATCGTTCGGTTAATTTTGATGTCTCCAGTGAAAACGTGGATTTTCATACAGTTCATGTGCGAATCCCGGGATCTTTGAAAACCTCTAACTATCTCGCGTAAACATTGCTGGTCCTTCGAGCCGGATCTTCGGAATTCGCGAATTAAGTGAATTCTCGTAACCGAAATTACCGAACGTCGCGAGTGTGAAATATCGTGCTTATTGTCTCGTTGCTGTCACACCAGCGGTTCTCAGCAGTCGGCTGCGGAATTACGATTGTGCGTGAGTCTTGCGTAAGTGCGGTTGCCGCTTTCGACGTGCGTTCTCAAATAAGTGCATTTTTGCACGTGCTGTGTTCTCTCCAGTCAAGTTAGTCCGACTCAATCGAAGATGGCAACAATCGAAAACACCATTGCTCGCCAGAATGAATTGTTCGGTCTGATTTCCCGCGCAGTCGAAAATCTTCATAAACTCGGACCGACAAAAACAACTCGTGGAGCAGTGCAAAGTCGCGTGAGCGCACTCAAGGCTAATTGGGAGAAATTCCAGGGTCTTCATGATAGCTTGTGCAAAGTGCGGAGCCCCGACATTGCAAAGCTGCCGTATTTCGCTGACGACCTCTATGCATTGTGCGAAGAGAAATACATCGATGCGAATGGCATCATGCTTGACATGTTAGATGAGCTCGTACCGGAAAGAAGTGCGTCCGCGACCGAGGCCTCAATGACAACGTCTACCGCATCTCATTCTCGACGACTGCCTCGTATCGACATACCAAAATTCTCAGGTGATTACGCTCAATGGAGTCATTATCGAGATTTGTTTACGTCCATGATCATGGAAAATAATGATATATCGGCTGTCGAGAAACTACATTATTTAAAAATGAGCTTGACAGGGGAGCCATCGCAACTCTTGAAAAATGTGACTATCTCTAGTGAAAATCTCAACCGCTCCTGGAAAATGCTCATTGCTCGCTACGAAAATAAGCGAATACTAATTGATGCTCAATTGTCAGCGTTATTCGCAATTCGCAAACTTAAAACCGAGTCATCATCGGAACTCAAGCGACTTCTCGGCGACGTTAAGGAAATCCTCGGTGGTCTCGAAGCTCTCGACTGTCCGGTGCGCCAGTGGGATCATCTTATCGTTTTTATGACTGTGCGCAATCTCGATTCCGAATCAATGAAGGATTGGGAAAAAACACTCGGTGCGACAACTACCGCGCCTTCCTTCGCCGACTTAGAAACCTTTCTCGTTGGACGCGTGCATACTCTCGAAGCTATTGAAAGATCCACGACCTCACGTAAACATCCAGCGACAAATATGACACGACCTCAACTAAACGCAAGATCATACGCTGCCACCACCGCCGAACAGCAGTGTGCGTTGTGCAATTCAAGCCATTATATTTCGGCGTGTCCGAAATATCTTGAGAAGACTCCCGCTCAACGCCGCGAGACAGTTTCATCGAAAAACCTCTGTTATAACTGCCTCGGTCCTCATCATCTGAAAAGCTGTCGTAATGCAAAGCGCTGTCGTATCTGTCGCAAGCAACATCACTCAACGCTACATCTCTCATCAAACGAACCGGTAGCCGCAATAACAACGATGTCGCCGATTGCCTCAATTCCGTCGACCTCGCACATAGGACTCACCTCCACGCATCTCGCGCAAGCCGACGGACAAGAATCAACGCTTCAAGCATGCAGTCATGTGACTCAATCGCGTATAATTCGAAGTACGTCCGTACTGCTCGCGACCGCTCTCGTTACCGTCGTATCACCATACGGCGAACATTATCAAGTACGCGCGTTGCTTGATCAAGGATCGGAGGCATCATTTATCTCCGAATCCGTCGCACAAATCTTAAGACTCTCACGCACTTCAGCTGCAATTCCAATTATCGGGATCGGTGCTCAGCGATCCAGTGTCTCCAATGGACGTGTCTCTTTTGAAATTATCTCACGCGTCAATTCGGCATTCTCTCTAAAAATCGAAGCTCTTGTGTTGCCGAAACTCACCTCTTATCTGCCACCTGCAGTTATTGTGAATGCTCAGTGGCCTCATATCCATGGATTGGCGCTTGCAGATCCAAACTTTGCAACGCCAGGAAAAATTGATCTCGTTCTCGGCGCAGGTGTTTGTGCGCAAATTCTCGAAGACGGCATTTGCCGAGGAGCTAGCGGTACGCCAATCGCTCAGAAAACCACTCTCGGCTGGATACTCTCCGGACAACTCTACTCTGAGCATGATCACACCTCAACAGAACAATCAATTAATGGATTGCACTGCTCTCTTGATGGTGAACTCCTCGATCTGCTCCAAAGATTCTGGGCCCAGGAAGAAATCACGCCTGTGCATAACGTGACGCTCACCCCAGAAGAATCTCAGTGTGAAGAACACTTCAAGACAACGCATTCTCGTGACGCGCATGGACGCTTTATCGTTCGGTTACCGCTCCGAAAAACTGTAAGTGACTTGGGTGATTCTCGCGCTCCAGCACTCAGGATGCTCCGACGTATGGAAGCGCGCTTCGAAACGCACGCTTCTCTCAAGGTAGCCTATAAGGAGTTCCTACGTGAGTATCTTGAACTTGGTCATATGCGTCTCTCAAGTTCTCATGATATTTCGCGACGCGAATTCTTTCTGCCGCATCACGGCGTCATTAAAGAAACAAGCTCGACCACGAAATTACGCGTCGTGTTTAATGGATCGCAGAAAACAAATCTCGGAATATCATTAAACGACTGCTTGCATATCGGCCCGAAATTGCAGACGGATCTCGTTGACATTCTCGTTCGCTGGCGTCGACATCGCTACGTGTTCGCGACCGATATAGAAAAAATGTATCGACAAATTCGCGTACATCCAGACGATTGGCCACTTCAGACGATTTTCTGGAGAGACTCTCCGTGTGAACGGCCGCGAGAATATCTCTTATGTACCGTGACATACGGTCTAGCTTGCGCGCCATATCTTGCACTTCGCTGTCTGCAACAGCTCGCAACCGACATTGAATCCACACGCGGACTGGCTGCCGAAATTCTACGCCGCGATACATACGTGGACGACATTTTATCCGGGTCAGATGACATCTCTACAACGAAAGAAAAGATGCAGCAGCTTAAGGATACTCTCACGGCGGGTGGCTTCAATCCGAAGAAGTGGATTACAAACGCTTCGGAATTGCTCCAAGGTATTCCCGTGCGATCAGGATCCTTCCGCGATCCTACCCGTCGGCGACTCCACGACGCATTATACTCTCGGAATTCGTTGGAGCCGATCAAGTGACAGTTTCGTGTTTGTTGCCCCTTCGTTTCCGCGCTCAGACAAAACGTTCACTAAACGCTCGGTACTCTCGTTTATCGCGCGGATTTTCGATCCTCTCGGCTGGATCGCACCGATTATAATCACGGCCAAGCGATTCATGCAACAACTGTGGGCAATACGTCTCGACTGGGATGACGAATTACCATGTTCTCTCAAATCTCAGTGGATCGAATTCATGCAGCAATTCGAACAGGTGTCGGCTATTGTGATTCCGCGTTGGTTCGGCACCAGCTCAACGGCTCTCGGAACCGAATTGCATGGTTTCTCGGACGCCTCTCAACATGCAATTGCCGCAGTTATCTATCTCCGTGTCGTGACTCCCACCGGCATTCATGTGACTCTCGTTAGTGCAAAGACAAAAGTGACTCCGCTTAAACGCGTAACAATTCCGCGACTCGAATTATCAGCTGCCGTACTCCTCGTGAAACAGCTTCTCAAAATACGCGAAATTCTCGATTTAACTCAAACGCCAGCGCATCTCTGGACGGACTCCACCGTCGCGTTAACATGGATCAAAAGCCATCCATCGAGATGGAAAGAATTCGTGCGAAATCGTGTCGTGTTCATACAAGAGCTCTCAAACTCTCGGTGGCATCACGTCTCAGGGAAAGAGAATCCTGCTGACGTGGCGTCTCGCGGAACATCGCCTCAACTTCTCCAGCAAGATCAGTCGTGGTGGCATGGACCTCTGTGGCTACAGCAATTCTCGACCGCGTGGCCAGTCTCAAAGCTCTCGCTCGATTCCAACGCACATCTTGAAGAACGAGCTCGTAATTGCGCCATCGCGATCGTGATTCCAGAGCCAGATATGTGGGATCTCATAAAACGATACTCATCTTTCACTCGACTGACCCGCATTACCGCCTGGATTCTACGTGCGATCCAACGCTTCCGACCTTCAAGGACTGTGCCTGTATCGCAAGACCCTCTTACTGCAGGGGAGCTAGAATTGTCAGTCCTTCTTTGGGTCGAATTAACGCAACATGCTTATTTCTCAACGGAAATTCGACTCCTACGAGGAGGTAAGCAGCTGCCGAAAACCAGCGCACTGTTCCGTCTCACTCCGTTTCTCGATACTAAAGGGCACCTCCGACTACAAGGACGCCTTCAATTGTCTCAGCTGGATCCGGCGGAAAAACATCCATTGATTTTACCTCGCAGTTCTCGATTGACGGACCTCATAATGGATTATTACCATAAACAGACGTTACATGGCGGACCACAACTCATGCTCTCGGTTATACGCCGCAAATTTTGGATTCTCGGGGTCGCCTGCCGGTTCGCTCATTTATTCATCGATGTGTAACCTGTACACGTCAACGAGCAGTTACCGGGCTTCAACAAATGGGACAGCTTCCGGCCTCTCGTGCAACTCCATGTCGACCTTTCTATCATACCGGGGTCGATTATGCCGGACCTCTAACACTCAAGACCTTTCGCGGACGAGGTGCAAAAACTTACAAAGGATACTTTGTAATCTTTATCTGCTTCAGCACCTCAGCTATGCATCTCGAGGTGGCGACAGATTATTCGACCGACGGATTCATCGCCGCCTACAAACGGTTCACGGGCCGCAGAGGGATTTGCTCCACAATCACAAGCGACTGCGGCACCAATCTCATAGGAGCGGATTCCGACAGAATGGACTCACATCGCCTCCCAGCTCGCCAACGATGGAGTTACGTGGAAGTTTAATCCACCCTCGGCCCCTCACTTCGGTGGAAAGTGGGAAGCTGGAGTGAAATCGGTCAAATTCCACCTCAGGCGAGTCATAGGTGACACGCTGCTCACCTATGAAGAGATGAACACGCTCTTAATTCAGATCGAGGCGGTTCTCAACTCTCGCCCTCTAAGCGCTCTCTCGGATGACCCAACGGATGTTTCAGCGCTCACGCCAGGGCATTTTCTAATCGGATCAGCGCTCACCACTGTACCGGAGCCCTCTCTGGGTGATGTCCCAGCATCTCGGCTGTCGCGCTGGCAGCTACTCCGCCAGATGACGGAGTCATTCTGGAAGCGTTGGACTGCAGAATATCTGTCCCAGTTTCAGGTCTCCTCTAAGCGGCACCAAGCGCAAAATTCATTTCAGGTTGGGTCTTTAGTTCTCATCAAGGACGAACGGATGCCTCCTACCAAATGGCCTCTCGCACGCATCATTGACGTGCATCACGGGCCTGACGGACTTATCAGAGTCGTCAGTGTGAAGACGGCCAACACTACGCTCAAAAGACCAATTGTCAAATTGTGCCTGCTGCCGGATCCAAATAAAACATAGACATTTTCGCGATAGATTCACGTTCCATAAATATTGTCAACGCGGAGTTGCCAAGGCGGGCGGAATGTTTGGAGTTTGACAAGTAAAAGTTATCGCATATCGATCAATCTTATATTTCGGCATAAGTTTTCGATCATTGTATTTATATATCACGCCTTTGTATAGCCAATTATTTCAGCGTGACAAATATATTATTTTCGAGCCTCGTATTGTTACGATGCCGCGACCGTGACATTCCTTGTTGTTTTTCGCTGCCGATCAGCTGGCGATCAGCTACCGATCAGCTGATTCGCACTCAAATAAACATACCTTGCTCCCCGTTTTTCACCCTTACGACGGGGAATTCTTGTCTCTCGACACCTCGTCAACAGCAGTTGAGCTGAGCTCTCTGATCAAGCAAGGTTGTCGCGCGAAGGCTATATGTCTCGGATTCAGTTTTTGTCTCCATCTCAATTGTGTGTTTCTCAAATAAACTCTTAAAAGATCAAATCAGTTTGTCATCTTTCTTAAGCAATGATATTTTATCTTTCCTCTATCCTATCGTTCGGTTAATTTTGATGTCTCCAGTGAAAACGTGGATTTTCATACAGTTCATGTGCGAATCCCGGGATCTTTGAAAACCTCTAACTATCTCGCGTAAACATTATTGACTTTAAATTTTATCTCCTCTCGCGCGACCGCGGTGTTTACAATTTAAAGTGGTTTAACTGTAAGCGCTTGATTTTAGCAGGCGCGGGGTATGCGTAACCTTGGCGGCCGAGCGCTATTTCAAATCAATACTAAACGACTGCATGTTACAATAAGAATACTGCCCGAATATGCACTCAATGTTTTAATGATCTTAGTCTTGCAGGTTTTTTAAACGTTTGAATCTCGAACATTCCGGCCGCCTTGCAGGAGTATACCTGCAATAATAATCGTAGCGTGGAAGTGGGGGCGCGTGCCTATTCACGCTCTCGCGAGTGACGGGCACGTGGAGCGCACGTGCTCTGACGGATTTCGTTCAAGGAATGCTGAATCGAACAGCTGTTTATTTTCGAGCGCAGCAGGATAGACGCATGTCGGTGAACGCATCGAGGAATACGCGACAATTTCGATTGTGATATTAACCGTGATTGAATAATGAAACGAATAGTTGAGTGATAAGAAGATTGCAGCGATGAAAAGAGTGGAGTAGTGAGTGGAATGTAGTTATGATTGATGTGAGGTAGTTTGGAACGGTGCAAATGAAGTGTTGATGAATTTACTTATCGCTTGTGGTTTTAGGTGTCAGTTCGTCAGCGTCGGGAAGAAAAACGAGTTTGTTAACGGGTCGCGTCAAGACAGTGGTGGCGGTGCGGACCTCGACGACGCGAACGTGTCCGTCGGCTCCGGAGTGCAATTTGGTGATGCGTGCTAGAGGCCACCTCGTTGGCGCGGTCATTTTGTGACGTATCAAACAGAGTCGATCGACGCGAGCTTCCCGGTTTATTTTGAACCATTTCGACCGATGAGCCAGCGTGTGTAGGTATTCGCGGGACCATCGGGACCAGAAATGATCCTTCATCTGTTGTAGAAGCTGCCACCGGGAGAGGCGCGACGACGATTCTTCAGTCAGCGACGGTTCGGGGACGGCGGAGAGCGCGGAGCCGATAAGGAAATGGCCAGGTGTCAGCGCACTGAAGTCCTCCGGGTCGTCGGTCAGCGGTTGCAGCGGCCGAGAGTTGAGGCAAGCCTCGACCTGGGAGAGGAGAGTGGCCATCACCTCGTAGGTGAGTGTAGCATCTCCTATCACTCTGCGAAGATGGTGCTTCATCGATTTGACTGCCGCTTTTCAGATACCACCGAAGTTGGGCGCAGCCGGCGGGTTGAACCGCCACTGAATTTGCTCCTGAGCAGCGAAGGAGGCGACGCGACGTCCTTCAGAGTTTGCGGCTGAGAATAAGTCTCAGAGTTGAGTGTCGGCGCCTATGAAGGTGGTCCCACAGTCGCTGTATAGCGTGCGACATACACCTCGCCGAGCTATAAACCGACGCAAGGATGCCAGGAAAGCGTCGGCCGAGTAGTCCGAGGCGACATCAAGATGGACGGCCCTGGAACCTAAACAGATGAAGGCGACAATGAAGGCTTTAGAGGATTTGTGCCCGCGGCCTTTGGCACTTCGCAGTCAGCCGGGTCCGGCGTAGTCGACGCCAGTATGGAGGAACGGTCTTCATGGCGTCACTCTGGGTGCAGGCAAGTCACCCATGAGAGGCTGTGCTGTAGCCGACCGCCATCGCAGGCATCTAACGCAGCGGTGAATATGGTTTTTGACGAGGGATCGTCCACGAGGAATCCAGAATTCTTGACGGATAGAACACAGGGTCAGCTGGGTGCCCCCATGCAACGATCGTCGGTGATGGGCATCGATGACGAGGTGAGTAATTCGCGACGAACTCGGTAGGATGATTGGATGGGTAGCCTCAAAAGACATTTGAAAATGTCGTAGACGCCCTCCGACGCGAATAACGCCCGAATCGTCCACAAACGGGCTGAGTTTATTGAGTGGGCTTCGGTTTGGTAGTGATTTCAGTCCTCGCAACGATTTTAATTCATCCTTGAAATTTACAGCTTGGACGACCCGTATCCAGTAGATCAGCGCGTCATGAAGTTCTTCAGCGTCTACCCCGCCGTCGCGATTGAGAAGGATGGGCTGCCGTCGGCGTTGTCGTAACCACCGGAGACACCAGGCGGTGATGCGAAGTAGTCGCTGCAGGGAAGAGTATTGGAGCAGCAGTTCCGGTTCGTCTCCTCGCTTGTCAAAGACTGTAGCGTGCGAACGGGCTCGACGGTCGGGTAGCTCGACGTTGCTGGGATCATCTCCGAAGACAGTCCAAGGGCCGCTCTCCGTTTTCAGCCAAGAGGGACCCTTCCACCAAAGTGGATGCGCCTCAAGCTCTCCAGGGAAGATGCCTCGAGAGGCGCAGTCGGCCGGGTTTTCGCGTCCAGGGACATGATGCCAAAGGGCGTCAGGGAGCGACGTCTGAATTTCGCTGACCCGGTTGGCAACGAAAGTGACCCAGGAAGAAGGATGTCCACGGATCCAGCCGAGAGCCACCGTGGAGTCTGACCAGAGATGAAGAGGCGCCTTTTCAGCTCCGATGAGAGGCAGCGTTTGCTGAACGAGGCGGACCAGAAGAGTTGCGGCTGATAATTCGAGCCGAGGTAAGGAAATTTGTTTCAGCGGAGCAACTTTCGTCTTGGCAGCAATCAGCGTAACTCCATACTCCCCGTTCTTCTCGGTTTTTAGGTGCACCACAGCAGCGTAGGCACGGACTGAGGCGTCAGCGAATCCATGGACTTCCAGGCGGCAGTCAGTCGATCCTCCGCCCAGCCATCGAGGAACGTGCAGTCTCTCCAGTTGGGGGAGCTCCGCTTGGAAGCGTAACCAGGCCTTCTCATGATCGTCCGGAAGAGGAGTGTCCCAGTCGATACCGAGTAACCACGTAGACTGAATTAGAGTCTTGGCGAGAACAGTCGTGGGAGACAGCCAACCGAGCGGATCAAATAGCTTCGCTGTCAACGATAAAACTGACCGCTTTGTGATCGTGGACAGCGTTGGTTGGCTGGTGGCGAAGGAGAAGAGGTCGTCGCAAGGTTGCCACCGTAATCCCAGAGTGGCATGAAAAGTCATGGGGGAAGCCCCAGGCAACCACCATCTTGCCTCTTGCTGGAGGCAGTCTTCGGTAGGTAATGTAGACAGTAACTGAGGGTGATTAGCTGACCATTTTTTCAGAGGGAAGCCTCCCGCCTTGCAGACCAGAACAAGCTGTCGAAGGATTTCCTTGGCTTCTTGAAGGGTAGAAGCTCCAGGCAGGATGTCGTCCATGTAGACGTCGGAGCGGAGGACCGCGGCTTTCTCAGGATGACGATCGCCTTCGTCCACGGCGAGCTGGTGCAGCGTGCGGATGGCCAAATATGGAGCGCAGGCTAAGCCGTAAGTTACTGTAGTCAGCCAATATTCCTTGATCTCGAGCTCTGAATCCTTCCTCCATAATATCCTTTGCAGGCTCTGATCATCGGCATGTATCAGGATTTGCCGGTACATTTTCTCAATGTCGGTAGCAAAGACGTACCGGTGCCTTCTCCACCGTAGTAGGATGTCAGCTAGGGCGAGGAGCAGGTTGGGTCCCGTCATCAGAAATCGGTTGAGACAGTCGCCGTTGGCCAAGGAGCTCGAACCGTTGAAGACCACTCTCAACTTAGTAGAGGCACTGCTTTCGCGCAGGACCCCGTGGTGAGGAAGGTAGCAGGTTCGTTGTAGAGATCCAGTAGTCGACAGGGAAGCCGGCTTCATATGGTTGAGGTCCAAGTATTGCTTCATGAAATCCACATACATGCTGCAGAAGGTACTTTCTCGTTCTAGTTTTTTGCTAACGTGTTGCAGGGCCCGACTGGCGGCGCGTCGAGTGGCTGAGAGGTCAGGCAGAGGCTCGATCGTCGGCAGTCTCACCACATATCGACCGTTGGCTGTACGAGTGTGATGTCGTAGGAAGTGATCCTCGCACTCCTGGTCAGCCTTAGAATAGAGTTGTGAAGGTCGTTGAAGCTCCTCCTGCTCCCAGAAGCGACGCACCAGGATAGAGACGTCGTCTTCAATTCGGCATTGGTGAGTGTGAACGTGATGTCCGGTAGTCGTCTCACCAACAACGCCTGACAGTATCCAGCCGAGCGTAGTTTGTTGAGCTATTGGTTCATGTCGATTTCCCTTTTTTAGGCCCTGACAGAGGATTGAACCGTAAACGTCCGCGCCAAGGAGGATGTCAACCGGATCCGCTGAGCCGTAATCAGGGTCCGCGAGTTCCAGACCCTGAAGATGAGACCAGTTTTGCCCGCCGCTGTTGTAGCCGCCGGCGTAGATGGTCAGCTTCGGCAGCACCAGAGCGTGGACGGTGAGGGAAGGGCAGCCACTAAGAGACTGGAGGGTGAGTACCACTTTTCCCTTTGAGACGCCTGTCTTTTTCCCGCCGACTCCATACACTGAAACCGAAGCGGAGCTCCGTGCTAGCCTCAAGCGTTGGGTGAGCCTTTCCGACACAAGGGAGGATTCCGAGCCTTGGTCGACGAGGGCGCGAACTGACTGCCAGGAACCATAGCGATCGCATACGCGAACGCGCGCCGTGGCCAAAAGTACAGCTACAGGCGTCGGAAACGGTCCCTTGCTGACGTGCGACGTTTTGACGGTCTCCGATGAGCGGTAGGCATCATGGAGTGAGGTATGATGCCGGTCATTGCACGCGGAGCAGTTCTTCTTGGAGGCGCAATCCTTGATTTTGTGTCGGCCGAGACAGTTTCCACACAAGTCGTTGCCTTCGACGTGCTGCTTGCGCTCTGAGGCCGTCATTTTCTTATAAGTGTCGCACAGCATCACGAAGTGGTCACTCTGGCAGGCTGAACAGCGTCCTCTGGTGTTTCCCTTGGGCTCTTTTGAGTCCTGCTTACGAGCATGGTGGGTACGAGTCGACTTCGACTGACTCCCGCCGGTTTTGTTGGGCGAGACGTCGATCTTCGTCGAGGGTAACGACTCCAGAGTGTGAAGACGTCTCTTGAGTTCTTGAGAGGAAAGACTCAAGGAATCGCTCTAGCAGAGCGTATTGCGGAGGTTCGTTTGTCTCACTGATGGAGGTCTCCCACTCGCGGCGAGAGCGACTATCGAGAAGGTCAACGGCGAGGTGCACAAAGAGATCTTCAGTACTTCCTACAGGCCGGTCGATGCTCGTCAGCGAGCTGACCGTAGTCTTAATGCCATGGAATATCTTCCTAAGCTCAGCAGCGGATTCTCCCTTCATCTTTGGCAGGCTTAAACAATTTGTTAAATAAGAGCGGGTTAGTAAGCGCTTATTTTCATAGTAGTCGCTTAGAGTTTGCCAGGCTCGTTCGTAATTAGCTTCGGTAGAACTGAGGTTTCTGATGAGAAGATCTGCTTCGCCCTTGACACAGCTCTTCAAGTAGTGCATTTTTTCTACAGGCTTCGTCGTCTTATCCTGGCCGATGAGGGAGACGAAGAGGTCTCGGAAGGCCGGCCAATCTTCGTATCTTCCCGTAAAGGTTGGCAGCTGGATTCGAGGTAGCGTGGTGCGAGGCGCCGATGTTGATGTCTCTGAAGTAGCAGAAGCAGCCGCTGCGTTCCTTCTTTTGGAGAATACGCCGCATCTCCAACATCAGGCCCTTGTTCACTAGGTAAGACTCCTCGCCGAGTGAAGGTATGTCTTGTTTAGCATAGGCGTCATGTTTTAGTTCGTCTACACACTCAGCCAAGATATCATTTATCGCATCGAATTTCTCCCACAGTTTGTCGAGATTCAGAAGCCGGGCTTCCACCGCGCCGAGTGTGATGTTGGCCTCGCCGAGCTTCCGAAGATTATCGTATGCACGCGAGATCTTGCCATATAGCGCGGTGGCGTTGGTAATTATAGTTGTGGTGTCTGCCATCTCTGACACTGTCTTACTTTCAGATGCACTGGTCACCTACACTAATAAACTATACGCTTCCGTGGCACCGGATTCACAGGAGGTTCTGGAAATCCGGCTCGAAGGACCAAAATAATGTGCGCGACGGAAGGCAGGATAGGAAGGTCGGAAGCGAGAAGACAGCGAAGCACTGCACTCGACACACACGTATCGTTTAATATAAAACTATATTTAAGACTAAAACAAAGAAAAATACAAGTATTGAAACCGCACAGAATTTACTAAAAGATAACTGATAAGAATAAACCAAAAGAAATAGCCGAGTCGATAATTAATAACTGAGTGCTCCGCGAGCAACGGTAATTTAAACGTGAAGAACGAAAAAAAACAAGCGATCTTTTTCTTAAAGTAGAAGCACACTCTTAACGCGACAAGCAATCGGAAAAGGGCGCTGTGGTCACGGGAGAGGCGGCTTATATAGGCATGGTATTTCTCGAACATTCGAGAATATTTATCAGGTCCTATTATTCGATTGAGGACGAAAGAGTGTTTGCTGTGATTATTTATTTTTAAGTAAATCGTGGTTTGTTGTTATTGACTTTAAATTTTATCTCCTCTCGCGCGACCGCGGTGTTTACAATTTGAAGTGGTTTAACTGTAAGCGCTTGATTTTAGCAGGCGCGGGGTATGCGTATACCTTGGCGGCCGAGCGCTATTTCAAATCAATACTAAACGACTGCATGTTACAATAAGAATACTGCCCGAATATGCACTCAATGTTTTAATGATCTTAGTCCTGCAGGTTTTTTAAACGTTCGAATCTCGAACACCGCTTTAATTTCCTCGCACCAGACCTTTACATCGTATAAGATGCTCTTTTTAGCTGAATTTATCTTTCGGTTCAGAATATCTTGGAGGTTCTTTATTTGCGTATCAAAATATTTCATCCATGGTTGTGACATTGTTTCTGATACCACGGATAATGGATTCTCGTTTTCATCTGCCTCAATTTGTTTTGTAGGATTTTTCTGACTATTGTCGTCAAATGTAATTGCAATAGTTCCACTGAAAGCTAAATTGAAAAAAAATTTAATCTATTTACAAATAAAATGCAAAAAGTTAGTGATTTTTCTACTTTAATTTCTACATATGTTTATTATATATTTTAATATTTCTTTATAGAAAAAGACACAGACTAATGTTTTACAAATAAAAGAATAATAGCAAAAATTACCTAGGTTTTCATCATGTTTACTAGTTTTAGATTGAATCTCATCATTACTTTGGCTGTCATTAGATGTAAATACATTTTTGCCAAAATCTAGGTGAAAAAAAAAGAAAAAAAACATAATTTTAAAAATATTTAAAATTTTCATTAAAATTCTTGTACATTATCTCGAAAAATACAACAAAATACAATTAACTTATCTCATAATTCAATTAATAACGCATATATAAGTTAAAAAAGACTATAAATAAGAAATTTGTAACACAAAACAAAAAGCTCATGTAAACTCATAAAACAATTTTAAATTTTATTCATAGATATCTTTTATTTTTTATTTTAACTCTCTCCCCAAGAAAAACATTGTATATATGTACTGTGACGTGGTCGTCCCGACGCCCGTCACTCCCCGACGCGGGGCCATAAAGCCGAGCGGCCGCGCCAAGAGAGCGAGCGAGCGAGAGAGAGAGAGAGAGAGAGAGAGAGAGAGAGAGAGAGAGAGAGAGAGAGAGCGAACCCCGAGAGACTTAGCGGCGCGAAAGATATTATTATTAACGAGTTTATTTTTATTTTTTTAATGTATTACGGGAGCCTTGCTGTGAAGATATTGATTTAAGAGATTATCGGGGAGAAAAACCAAAAATCAGTAAGCGGCGAAAACACCACGCACGGAGCAGTGGCTCTACGAAAAATCAGCACACCAACAACGGCCGCGGGGCGAGAGAACCGCAGGGGCGCGCCCACCAGCAGGCGCCAAGAAGGACCCGAGGGGGTAACCACTAGCTAAAATGTTGTCCCACAGATTACATGATTTCATTTGATTTCATGATTTCATCTAATTACAAACGATTTCATCTGATTGCAAATGGATTTTTTCATTACATATGAAATTATTTCATAAAAGTAATGATTTTATCTGATTACACAATGCATTTTCGTGATTGCACATGTAATCATTTAGGATTTTATGTGACACATAAAATTATAAATAGCATTTTATCTTGAATTTGATCGCAATTTATAAATCGTTTAAAATGGAGCTTAAGTAAATTCCAACCTATATTATGTATAAGAAGGACAAAGATTATGAAAAATAACATATAAAATAAAAAATAAGAGAGCATAAACATAATGACAAACATGTTTTATTGCTTCACAACAAAAAATATACTTTATATATTCTACGAGTACTCATGTAATTTGTAAGTTTCATTATAAGTTATATAAAAATAAACCAAATATATATAAACATAAACCAAATTAAAAATACAAATGGCTATATGATATACAGCTTCTCAAAATAAAAAATAATATTACTTAAAACTTATCCTAAATTGTAAGTTGCAAGTTTCTGTGGAGAGAATGAATAAAATCCTTTGGCATCGATATTAGGAAAAGATAATTTACGTACAATATTAACAGACTGAACTGTACAAATATCGTCTCGCTTTGGAAAATAAAATAAATATTTTTCTTTCTTTAAAACTAAAACTTATCCTAAATTGTAAGTTGCAAGTTCCTGTGGAGAGAATGAATAAAATCCTTTGGCATCGATATTAGGAAAAGATAATTTACGTACAATATTAACAGACTGAACTGTACAAATATCGTCTCGCTTTGGAAAATAAAATAAATATTTTTCTTTCTTTTTCATAAATTTAATGTTATATTCATTCTCCTTTGAGGAAATTACAACTCCTATGTAATAAGTAAAGGACTTATTAGTTTCGAAAGGAACTAATACATAATCATTTGGATTAGCTGTTGGCTCAGTCTCAACGAAAGATTTGATATATTTTAAAACAGTTTCGTGGAGTTTTAATTTATTCTCTATAAATCCGTTGGTAATAGTACATACATAATTTCTCAAACTTATGTATCCATGACTCTCTACTAATATAGGTTTAACATTCCCTTCGGTATCGTAACTGTACCACGAACACAACACTCCTACTTCACGATTTGACTTATAATTGATATGATTGATTGCACATTCTTTGGAAAATTGTCTGGATTTTCCACTTTTACCTTGAAGGTAGGAAAAACTTAAAATCAAACCCAAGAGTATTATATTGTTTTCGGTTTGTCGAAACAGGCACCACTCCTCGACAGTTACATCATCACATGTTCTACAAGATGGTGT